AATGTTTCTCCACTTCAAACTGTAGGATTCAGGGATGTAAGAAAAATACCCAACATTGTGAGATACTTGCTGAAATAACCACACACCAGCCAGCCTGAGTGAAATTAAATAGATACACCCAAGGAACATAAATGAAAAGAAGTTACTCAAACTTCTAACAACTTCTCTGTGTTAGTTATCTGTCTGTTATTCAACCTTTACTCAAGCAAACACCACTCACTCTTCCTGCAGGAAGCCTCCAGGATACGCACGGTACAAGTGGCACACATAAAGATTACTCCTGTAAGAAAAAGTAAGATGTATTTTGCATAAACAGCAAGTGCCTTAAAAATAATATTGACCTGATCATCAATTTTCCCAAATCAGTTGCTGGAAGAAGAGCATTGGTTCTGGAAAGTCTTTCTAGGCAGCACCTTGTAAGGTTGCTCATCGCTGCCGCTTTCCCTCGCTTGCCCATGTGTAACCTATGGACATCAGCAGCCAGGTGCTTCCTGCAGACCCTCCCTTGATCCATCAGCTCTGCAGGACAAGAGAGCAAGAAAATACCTGCTAGATTTAATCAATTTAGCCTGCATTTTTTCCTTTCCTTTCTGTTCTTCATACATCTCCAATTTACAGTCTCAGCGTTTTCTGGGAAGTAAGGGCTGTGTTTTACTAACAAAAGAGCCACCTAGTACTTCAAGATAAACCAGAGGTTTGCAAGGAAAACCCCGTAGTTGTCCCAGAAGCTTCTTCTCAGGTTTATGCTCCATGCAACGCCAAATCGCTTTTCAAATTCAAACTAGTGGCAGAGCTTTTCCACCCCTTTTTAACAAGACATTTTTTTTGTGAGGATGGGAAGGTACAACACCACAGACAACCTTGCCTTGGGATCAGAGGGGGGGGGGGGGAGAAAGAAAAAAGAGAAATGATTTAATATTTACACACTCTTATAACAACCTCACTTGTTCTGATTAAAAGAGGCAATTAAAGCATAAAGAACAGCCATGTGGGAGCAGATCAAAGGTCCTTCAGCTCAGGATCCTGTCTCAGACTGACGGTAATGACAGTCAGAGGGTATAAGCCTAGGAAGCAATGGAGCAATCTCTGCCCCAGCTCATCCTGCCAACCTCTGTGTTCATGGCTTCCTGAGCTGGACGCTGCCTCCATCCACTGCTGCAGTGAAGAGTCGTCCTCAGTCCTCCCTCAATTTATTTTTCCTTTCTTGAAATAATTTCTATTTACGATATCTGAAAAATCCAGCAGCAACTAGATTTATTACCAAAAAATGTGCTGCTGAAAAACCCTTTCCTTGTGCTCTCAACCCACTGCCTGAGAAGAGGGCGTAGAAGCCAGCACGGATGCTCTGCTTGACCCAGCCTAAGCAAAGAAACCCACCTCCTCCTGGCTGTCCCTGCAGGGTCTTTGCTGCCTTAGGAAGGAGCAGCAGCATTGCAGGGTAATGATGACCACTGAGATTGAAGAAGTCGCAGGGGGCCACAGGCAGCCTGTGCCCTAGGTTTAATTGTGAACCAGCCCTGACAGACCGGTGTAATCTGCCAGCCTGGAAGAGAAGCACAGCCCCCAAACTGCCATTGTTTTTATACCGAATAAAAGTTAAAGGACAGTAATAACTCCAATACACAGAATTGTGCAAGGACTGGACCAAAGCAGGATGTATTCATTCCTCACAAAAGAAATATGAGCATAACAATTTTTCTTTTGCTGCTCATGCTTTCTCCATACCATTTAATGAGCCATCATCAATAAGACTCAAACTAACCAACCAAAAAAAGCAGAGGTCAAAAATTCTATCTTAAAAAACCAAAGAAAACCAAACCCAGCCTAATAGCTTACTAGCTCTGGATTTGGAGAATTAACCCTCTTCAGAGCCATGGGCTCTGGGAACCCACAGGCTATCAACAGGTTTCTGACACCCCCAAAGGGCATCGGAGCGACAGGAGCTCAAAGCCGTTGCTGGGAAGTTCAGGAAGTCTCTCTTACTGAGCTGTGATCCAAATTTTTGTCTGAGCTTCAGCAAAAGTTAGTGAAAGTCCTGTTACCAACACAAAAGTTGGTTGTATCTTAACAGGTGATTTTGCAACAAAGAGGAACTCTGATTGCAGTTTCCTTGACTAAAGGGCAAAGGCAGGGAGGGTGTGAATTGTGTCAGCTTTTAGGGTATGGTTTTCAGAGCTACAAGTTGAGCTAAAGTCAGCGAGTGACAGCTTTGCAACACCACTGAAAAAGGAACTCCTTAACACACCGATAGTTCTCCCCGTAAATATTTTAGCCACAGCTGGTTTTTTCTTTTTAAAAAGAGCCATGCTTTCTCCTGAACGTCTTTCAAATGAGCGGTGAAATAGTTCCTTCAATATCAAACGTCAAAATAAAACCTGTGATTTCTGCACCAAACTTCTCCCCTTAATTTTGGATTACAAAAATAGCACCAATAGTTTGGCTTTTCAGTTCAGCTGGGGACAGAAACCAAGGACAAACTGGCTGACTTTCCTCCAGGCTGGAAGAAAATTTTTAGTGTTCTTGAGACATTCCCCAATTTCTCCAAACAGCTTTTACCTTCTCTCCATTAGCAACATGGAGAATAACCATTCCCTGTGTTAGCTTTTCCACTGAACCAGCTCTCGTTTTTCACCGAGAAAAGCTCACACCTCTGTTGTACTGCCTAGCTCCAGCACAGTCCTTTTTCTGCACAAAACTCAAAACACTTCGCAAAACACATGCAATAGGTGGGGAAACTGAGGCACGGAGACTCATGGGATCTGATAAACCCATCAGCGAAAGAGACAGAAAGCCCAGATGACAGCTTTGCCCAATAACTCAAGGAAAAAAATATCCCTGGTGTGGTTTTTTCTCGTTGGTGGTGTTTGTTGTTTGGGGTTTGGTGGGGTTTTGTTTGTTTGTTTGTTTTGATTACTTCAGAATACTTTTAAAACCTTCTAATTCACCACAATGGCACTAAAACTTTTACAGCATTTAGCGACCTTCTAATTTATTTGGAACTGTAGTTTGGTTCCTGCTTTGCAATGCCGGCTGGGAAACACGCCCTTGGATGGGGATTTTGGGTCCTTTTCATGCTCTAAAAGCAGGGTGGGTATTGGGGAAACACGGTCCCTCTTTTCCCGGCTGACCTAGGTAGCTCTGGAGAGCTCAGCAGTTGGTAAAGGGCAACAACAGAAGTAAATCAGATCCAAGTAAAATATGATAAAACCGAAGGGGGAAAATAGAAGGGAAGAAGAGTTGTCCACGTAACTTGTGCAGCATCTTGGGGACTCTCCGTCGGCAGTACTGCAGCATAGGGTGCTCAATTGAGGGGAGCAGCTACCACTGCCTTCCCCTCTAAAGTAACATCTTTAGAGCCAGATATTGCATTTTTCAGGGTCCTGGGAAGAGAAACTTTTTGAAGCTATCTCCTAGCGGCCGGTCCGGCTCCCGGGAGAGAAAGGAGCCGCTCCGCAGCCGCGCACCGCTCGCTCCCTTCCCGACCGCGCTCCCTCAATAAACCCGGCTGGGGATGCTTCTTCCCCCCCGGAGAAATATCTTGTCGGGGTCAACCTCGGGGATCCCACGGGCGTGGGGTGGTTCAAGGAAAGGCCCCTTCCCCAGCTCGGTTTCCTTCGGAATACCGAGAAAGCCACGTCGGATCGGCGGGGAAAAGAGGGTGGAAGGTGACCCCCGGCGGAAAAAAAAACCCCAACCCAACCCAGATTAAAAGCGAACGAACGAAAATCGCAATTGCAGTTTTCGTTCGCTTTTCGGTTTTGTTTTTTGTTGGTATTGGCTGGGGTTTTTTTCCGCCTTTCGGCAGCGGCCGCAGAGCAGCCCCCCGGTCCGCGTTGGGGGGCTCCCTCAGAAGCTAGCCCGTGTCAGCAGCTGCGGCCCCTGCCCACCCCAAGGGATGCACGGCGGGGCCGGCCCCGATCAGCCTTTACCCACAGCAAAAATCGTGGCCAGTCCTTGCGGCCGGGGAGATATATATATGTTGGGGGTTTTTTTCTTTAAACAGAAAGCAGAGGAGAGCGAGGGGGGGTTTTCTGGCCCTGCACACTCACCTCACCCTGCTCGGCCGCTGTTCGCCCTTTCTGGACAGCGCTGAAAATAACAAGAGGTACTTGGAAAACGCCGCGCAGATGGCGCCCATCCCAGCTGCCCTCCAGCCGCGGGGCTGTTGTTCTACGGCTGCTCGCTTTCCCAAGCGAGGACAAGTTACGAGGGACAGGTCGGAAGCAGGTCCGCGCCCTGCTGTGCCCTTCCCATCGGGCCTGGATGAGGCCCGCACCGGGAGAAGCGGGGCTCGGGGTGGAAGGAATCGGCGGCTCCACTCCGCAGCCGCACACGCACCCTCGGGGTGTTTGCGAGCCGCGATGCTCCGGGCAGGTCGTTGGACAATCGACTAGTTCCCATCCAGACCCCAGAGCAGTTTCCCGATGTCCCGCAAACTACGGTGCCGGTGCCAGCTCCGACGGTCCGGAGGGTCGGGTGGATGGATAGACAAGAGAACAGCTCAGATGCCTGCCGCGGCTTGCCCCGTCCAGGCAAGTCCTGTGCTCAGCCCCCCCCCCCCCGCCTCGGCAGGAGGTGGGAGAGAGGCTCAGCCCGTGGGCTCGATCCTGGTAGCCCGGCTCCCAGGGCTGTTCTCCTCTCCGTCCCCCACAGGGAAACAGAACAGCGCGTTACGGGACCCGACGGGCGCTGCACGGCGGCGACGAATTGCAGCTCGTCGCTCCCCCTTTCTCGGGACGTGGCCGGGGAAAACAACCGTTTTCGCACGCCGCCGGGTGCGGGAGAACGCGGGCTCCCCGCAACGGCACGGCGGGAAAGACCGACTCTGGAAACGCGGCGAGCCAGCCCCGGGACCGTCCGGCGGCTCCGCCGGCCGCTCCACCTCGGGAGCCCGCTCGGGGTCAGCCACGGGCGCCGCCGCGGCTTCCCTGGCAGCTTCGCTCCGGACTAGGAGCGGCCGCCCCTGGAAGGGATGGAAGGAAGGGTGTCCTTGCACTTACTGTCCTGTTGCGGGGTGTCACTGCCGCTGGTCAGCCCGGGGGACTCCAACAAGCTCCGGCCAGGCTCTCCGCCGCCCTCGTCCGCCTGGGCTGCCACCATGTCGCCCGCCTCCTCTAGGTCCAGCAGGTGACTCACAGAGAAGTTCTTCTTGGCTTGTAAATTGTCCAGGCCGGCGGGGCCGTCGAGGCGGGCGGGCAGCAGAGCCTGCCTCTCCATGGCGTGGGCATAGCTGGACGCCATGGTACCGAGCGGGGCTTTTCTGCCCTCGCCCCCCGCCCCCCGGGCGCCCACTAGCCCAGCTCCCCCCCCAAGCCGCCGGCCTTTCGAATGGGTGATGTGCAAGGACCGAACGGGGGGGCAACGGAACGGGACCCTACGGCGGCAGGAAGGGAAGCCCGAAGGCGAGCGGGCAGTGCTGGGCTTAAAACATGCCGGAGGAGAGAGGCGCCGGCCGTCCCGGGGAGCTGCCGCCGGCCGAGAGGCGCAGGGTGGCTGTGGGGCTGCTGCGCCCCGTCCCTCCGCCTCCGCTGCCGGCGGCTCCCTCCCTCCGCCCCTGCGCTGCCCTCCCCTCCCCTCCGCACCGCACTTCAAACGGCGGGGGCGGCTCCGCGGAGCTCCGGCCGCGCCGGGCACCCGGGGGAGGGCGGCCCGCGGGGCCCCGCCGGGACGTGGCACCAGCGCGGCCTCCCCCCCGGGCGGGGTGCGAGCAGCGCCGACACCGTCGCGCTCATTTGCTTCTCATAGGGGTGGCTAGGGGAGCCCCCTGGTAGGGGGGTGCAAAGGGGGTGTGGGCTCCCCTAACTGACAGCTGGAGCTGCACCTGGAGGGGAGCGTGGGTGCAGCCCTGGGGAGGGCTCCTGGGGCCGAGGAATAGAGTGAAAGGGGAGAAATAGTGAAAATGAGAAATGCATATCAAAAGGTAACAGATAGAAGAGAAAGCATGAATGGGAAAGAGGAAAGGAAGAAGGAAAACAGAGGAAGAAAAAGCACAACAGAGAACTAAAAGACTGGCCAAAAAGAGAGCAAAAGAGCCAAAGTGGGCGATAACAACAAAAAGAGAAACAGCAAATTAAAAAAAGACAGGAGGAGGAGGACACAATTCAGAGCTCCTCAGGCCAGCAAGCAAAGAGGTCCCAGCAGTTTGGCCTGCCCGGTCCCCTGGCCAAGGGCAGGTAGAGGTGCAAGGAGGTACCCTGACCCCTCCACAGAAAGGCCCGAGGGCAGCAGGGCTGGCAGCCAAGGCAGGGTCCTGCAGGCCAGGAAAGGCCTCAGCTTCCCGATGGCTGGAGCCTGGGCTCTAAGCTGCCACAGCCAGCCCAGAATTTCCATCCCCCCTGATCTGGGGAAAGAACATTTGATGCCATCAAAGGGCTCCAGATTGAAAACAGATGTGCTTCCCTGAGCCTCTCCATGCATTTAATTAAGGCACAGGCATGGAGGAGACATTTTCATCATTAGTTTGCTTTCAGCCTCCCTCCCCATTCCCGGTCCCAGTTTACCATTTGTAGTCTCTAAGACCCAAGCAAGCATAGTAGAGCTGTGAGACTCTTCTGTAGCCAACTTGGAGGCAAGCAAAGCTGGTAGGCACAGGCTGGAAAGGCCAGAAAAAGCACCAGAGCTAGATTGTGCATGTGGACAGAAACACGTGGGTGTACATACACCCAAAATTCTATATATGCATCTATGTACACAGCAGTATGTGCCTTACTGCATACTGGTGTGGCCCTTTTTCTGCACATGAGGGAGCTTTTGTGCATGATGTTCTGCAGCACATGGTGGATGGGGAAGGGACTGCATTTTCACATGGGTGTTCAAGGCTGTATCTGGCTTGATGTAAGCAGACAACTCATACCCTGGCTCTCAGGGTGTCCAGGTTTAGGCATGGCAGGGTGGGTGTACATACTGCCATGCTGTGAAGGATGGTTATCTGCACACACCTCTGTGTGCTGCTCTGCACATGAAACACACTTTTCTCTGACCTTCCCAGACATTTGTCTGCCTTCTTGGTGAGCTAGGTTTTACCTTCTTTCTCCCACTTCTTCAAATGGATGTTGGAACTGGCCTGGCCTTCCTGAGTGAGTGCTGTGCAGTCTCAGCCATAAATACACCATTCTACTGGCAGTAGGGTCTACTCTTAGCCCCTGTGAACCCCTGCCATGGGGGTGACAGCAGAAGCCACAAGAGCTCTTTGTGCTCCCTTCACTGACATCCCACTGACATTCCTGGTAAGAAGTATCTCTCCTTAAAACTCCCCATGTCTAAGGGCATCCTTCAGACAGTACTCCTTCCCAGTCTTGGGATTTAGGAATGCAGCCCAATGCCAGCAAATGCCCTGGAAAGTTGGAGGGTGAAAGCAAGTTGGTTCTGTGGGTGACCACATCAACATGTGTGCATCTGCTACAAAGGGACGGTCTCACCTGCAAGGCAATAAAGGGGCCCAGCTTCGTGACTGGCTACTGTGGCTTTCCCCTTAGGTCTGCCACAGAGCTCCCCGTGCATACAGCACCATAGGCCAAACAGCAACATGGGATGCCAGATTCACATTCTGGAAGTGGCCTAAACACCTCCTTTTCCTAGATGCCTCCTCCTACAACACAACTGGATTTCTGAGACTGGGTGGGAGAACTCTGCTGAGGGACAAGATAAATCCAAGGAAAACTCTTCCAGCTCTGCCTCCAAAGAAAGAAGGCTGCAAAGAGCCTGATCAGCCTGAGCTTGAGGGAATATAGGTGGGATGGATGAAGGGACCTTGTCTTGTGCAGGAAGTAAGTCAGACGAAAAGAAAGTGATGGACAAAAGTGGACCACGAAGATCATGAGTGAAAGACAAACAGAAAAGAAAGAATTGGAAAGATGAGGAGAGGGAGGGGATGAAGGGCATGATCTGTGTGCTCCTGGGCGAGCAAGCCAGGGCATCCCAGGACCCTGCATAGCTGCAGATCTCAGCCAGCCACTAAATCAGAAGTAGGACCATCTTTATAAAACAAGCATGAAACATCCCTTTGTTAGCCATTTCCTTTAACTTGGTTCAGAGTTTTAGAACACTTCAGGTTAGAGTACTGGCAGGTATTCCCACCGTACCTGAATGCTGAAGAGTGTTACTGCCTTTTAGTGTTCATCTTCTCCCCCTCCAGCCACAAGCAGTGAAAGTAGGAGAGAATGGGGCATTTGTCATCCATATCAGATGTTTTAAATTTCTTCCTGTGGAAGTGCCCTACTGCCAGCCCATGCACTCATTCCGGGGCTTCCAGGAGTTTCTGCAGAATAAATAGCCGTAGGGATGGGAATGATCCACACCATGCCTTGCTGTATTCCAAAGATCTCAACCCACTTTCACCTGTTTCAGATGAGGAAACTGATGAAGAGACAGCTTGTCCTTAGCATCAAATCCAAAGCACAGGTGATAGAATACCCAGTTCTCATGACCCTGAGGCTGGGAAGGATACCACAGGACAGCAAATGTATATACCATTTCAACATCCTACAGGCCATGAAGTTAGGTCATGGTAAGCTAGACATTTATTTCCCACTGGCCCAGTGTCATGCTGAACAGGCAGTTCCCATTCCCCACCATCTTCCCATCTCACCTTTCCTTTCCAGTGTGTGCCTGCCTGGCAGCTACTTACAGCCGCATTTCTCCACCTTCCCAGGCTGGCCATCAAATGATTGCCTCCTGCTCACACCCCCAGCAATGCAGGGACCTCTCAGCCTCTGCTGCCAGGGAAGGAGGAAGCCCAAAGGTTCTGACACAGAAATCTTCTAGGTAAAGCCCCCACAGTTGAAGGGCCAAGCCTCATGCTGCAAACAGCAGCCTGACCCCAGTTTGGCTCTTCCTGCTCCCAAAAGTGGTTATCATTATAAAGGATATCAGTGAGACTCATGCCTCAGTAGAGCTCTGCCTCAAAACCCATCTCCTATGCTGTGACCATACATGATGCTCAGAGGTGAGGCAGAAACCATAAGCAAGCTCTCCCATTCTCTTTCCCTTAGTTGCATATCAAGGGGGTGAAAACCAAAGATTTTCACCTCTGCAGAGGACCAGCACATATGCTTCTGCTTGCTTTTCTCACAGAAAATTACAAGCCCAATCTGTAGCATCAGTGAGAAAGTCCAACTTGAGTATTCGCAGTCATTCCTAAACTTCCCATGAAACCCATCCCTGGCAGCTCCTGTGGTTCTCCAGTATATGAGCTACCCCAGTATGCTATAAGCCTTCAGAAACATTCCCTTTACCTTTGCACCTATCTGAGCCGGAGCTTTCTTGTCTTGGTAGCAGTTTTCAGGTACAACAAACAGGAGCTGAGATGACCACCTTCCCAAGGGTCTTACAGCCAACAAGAAATACACAGAGCAGATGAACAGCTGGGCAGAAGTAACATGCTCAGGACAGATCACACTACTTGTAGTTGGCATTAGTGGGATGAAGGAAGACACCAAGCAAGACAAGCCAAACCAAGCCAAGGCAAGCTGGTTCTACTCCCACATTTGACTCCTCTGCACTACGTACCACACCACATGCCTTTCCCACCATAGACTACCCACTTGTTTCAGGTGCCCTAAATATCTTCTCTGCTACCTAAATTAAAACCCCAAACAAAACAACAAAGGGGCAGCAGAACCTGTGGAGGCTGTGACACACAGGTGTGGATTCTCAACTGCCTAATAATATCATGGCGCTCAGGTGAAGCATTTTATTCATCAAGGGAAAGTAGTTCGAGTATCTCTCCCCTGCCTTATTTTCATGAAACTTCTCAGCATGTGATGTCTTAGAGCCCCTTTTCAATCCGCCAAATTTTAACCTAGCAATTTAAAAATAATATTGCAGGAGAGCAGCAGAGAGAAGGAGGATATAACAGCCAGTACCATTGCACAAGCCTGTGCAATGCACACACAGTTTATTACAGTTTTCATAGAATCATAGAATCAGAGAATAGTTAGAGTTGGAAAGGACCTTAAGATCATCAAGTTCCAACCCCCCTGCCATGGGCAGGGACACCTCGCTCTAAACCATATCACCCAAGGCCTCGTCCAACCTGGCCTTGAACACTGCCAGGGATGGAACATTCACAACCTCCTTGGGCAACCCATTCCAGTGCCTCACCCCCCTAACAGGAAAGCATTTCTTCCTTATATCCAATCTAAACTTCCCCTGTTTAAGTTTTAACCCATTACCCCTTATCCTATAACTACAGTCCCTAATGAAGAGTCCATCCCCAGCATCCTATAGGCCCCCTTCAGATATTGGAAGGCTGCTGTGAGGTCTCCACCAGCCTTCTCTTCTCCAGGCTGAACAGTCCCAACTTTCTCAGCCGATTTTCATATGGGAGGTGCTCCAGTCCCCTGATCATCCTCGTGGCCCTCCTCTGGACTTGTTCCGACAGATCCATGTCCTTTTTATATTGAGGACACCAGAACTGCACACAATACTCCAAGTGAGGTCTCACGAGAGCAGAATAAAGGGGCAGGATCACCTCCTTTGACCTGCTGGTCACGCTCCTTTTGATGCAGCCCAGGATACAGTTGGCTTTCTGGGCTGCAAGCGCACACTGCAGCCACCTCATGTTCATTTTCTCATTAACCAG